TATATCGGCCACTACCTACGATGCGACCTAGTTTCACCCCATGACACATGTTGGCGTCTACTATTATGCATATAAGCTCGGTTAAGTTGCAAATCCCCACCGTTTTACCCCACCGACACGTTGTGCCAAAGCCATTTAGAGGGTTGATTGGTAAAGCTGAGAATTGCATGTTCACCTGCCTATCCTCGACCTCTCACTTCTCCTCACCAAGGCGTGGTAACTCACAGCCTGCTTAATGACAGTCTGATTCGGCCTGAGCTCCAGGCGTCTGTCTCGAATCAGGCCTTGGATTCTTCGGGTGGCTTAATTAATAAGGCTGCTGCCGGCCCGGTCTGTGCCGTCAATTATGAAGGCAGCAAAGGCAGAAACACTTTCCATTCGGGCTTGAGGCAGTTGGGATTGCAGCAATCTAAGCAGCCGCATCCTCAGTCTGCGCAACCACTGAGGCTTATTCCGTTGTATGGCCGGGTTGCCCAGCCGCAGGCCTCGAGTCACTTCAATCAGCAAGGCAGCCATCACAATCATCCTCATCTTCCGCTTCGCCAGCAACAGATGAATACACTTATCTCCTCTTGCTCCTCACCCCCGCCCGGCCTGGCCACTTGCCCTGTCGATCTAGGCCCTGATCACGGCAGACTCTTCCCGTCGCCCGGCCTACTGGCCACCATCACGACCGCCGACTATGCCAGAATGGGAAGTAGTGCCCACACTCCCGGCATCACCTCGACTCCCGCCGGGCCTGCTGGACTCCTGCTACCGGCAACGCCGGGCCTGTCGTACGGCCTGACGACTGCCGTTGCAGCCGGGACGACGACGACGACGAGTGCCGCGGCGGCGGCGGCGATCGCGGCAGCAGCAGCGGCAGCAGCCGCCCAGCAGCAGCAACAGCAGCAGCAGCAGCAACAACAACAACAGCAACAACAACAACAACACTTGCTTTCTCTCTACGCGGCAAGTCTCGGCAGACAACTTGTCCAGACGCCACCCAATTTCAGCCTGCCGACCAGCGCAGCGACCGCTACTGGCACTTGCTCCTCCTCCTCCTCCTCATCCTCAATTGTACCCAGCCTCCTCTCGCAAGGAAGCTGTGGAGAAGGAGGCGGGGGTCTAGGCAGCAACCCGTCAGGACTGGGTTCGTCTGCATTGGCCGCTAAGGGACTGGCCGCTGTTGGCGTAACAAACGAAGCTGCTGGGCTAGCAGCCTGCCTGCAAGCCGAGATGACTGGGTATTATTAATTTGCACTACTTATACACGTATTTTAGTAGTACTTTAAATTAGTTACAATTTTACTCATTTAACGCTCACACCCCTGGCATGGAAATTCCTTTGAAAACTCGAAGATTGATTTGTGGACAAGACTAGAATGAATAAGGCTTAATGACCAGAGTTTCTCAATTTGGCCTAAATTATTTCAATCTTTAGAGTTTATGCTGCGTTTTCCATGGGGGGCGTGCACGAATCCCCGATTATTTGATGACGGCATAAAAAGAGTGGTTATGGGTTCCTGAGGAATACGGGTAAGGCCAACTAAGCAGTATTCAGGGGACACCAACTCGTAAAAAAGACAGCATCTTTTATTTGCCATATTGGTAGCTATTTGACACTCCATTCACATCCCTTGTGCCAACTTTACTTTTCCTTATGAGGCTTGTTTACTGGGTCCGACAAGTACATTTTAACCAACAAGAGCATCGTGTAGTTGTTGGATGCCTTTATTTCCCCAAGCCAATGTTGAAACGTGGTTCATCCTTGATTGCCTTGACGATACTTTGGATATTTCTATATAATATATTTATTTTTGGAGACTTAATATGAGAGTTAGCTTAAAATACAGCGCTACCGAAGAACTGGTTGTGAATGGGCACTGTACAGATAACGGAATACATAGTCAAAAAACAAACAGATGAAGCCTATTTATTTTGCATTATCCTATCCTCGACCTATTTGAGAGACATGTTTTCAATACAACACATCTTTTGCCCGAGTCTGCCTAAATCATAATCTAAAATCGACTTAACATTGTCAGAGAGACTTTTGTTTTCTATGAAAGTGCACAAAGAAGAGACTAAAAGATCAATTTCAGCAGGAAAGGACGGCTGATTACCGTTGTACTGCAGCCGTTTTGCTTTACTACGAAGTCCAGGCTGATGTAGTCCACGAGACATCCTCCCTCATTTCGGGTGAAAATGGGCTGAGCTTTTGTACATCATATGAAGGGCAAGAAGATAACTAGCCAGACCATTTTATATCTATCTATACCTATTAATTTTCGCTTTTCAGCTATGAGTATATATAAGTGATAAGATAGAGCTGGATAGTCTTCTTTACCAAGTGTTAACGTGAGAATATTACACAAATGAGTTCCAACTCTGATGATGTCCATCGTACGATGGACGAAATCTCAGCCCGTTTTTACCGGAAACGTGGGCGCACTGCGCCAAACTGAACGTCATATCAAAGCAAAAGGGCTGCAGTACGATGGGAATTAGCCATCGTCTTCTGAGGAGATCGGCATTTGAATCTTTTTTTCATTCAATTTCATTGGAAATAAAGGTACCTCCAACAAAGTAATGTCAGGAGATTCATCGAAACCCATTTACTCTTTGTATCGACCTTACATCGCCTAACGATACTTTCTCTGTACAACATGCTCTATGTTTGCATGTGAATTTTTCACTTTTTAAGCTTTCATAGATTTTCCCCATTTGAATGAATATCGTCTTCAGTATTAATTAGTACTACCCCCTTAGTCACCTGAACCGTTAATCAAGGGAGATGAAGTGTCACACTGAACAAGAAGTACCTTGTGATATAAGGCAGAATACTTCTCAGGAGTCGCTATAAGCCATCGCCGTTATGTCATTTTTCACCAGATCAACTGGCGCGAAATCATTTGTTGTAGTGCAGATCATTATGGCATAATGTGGTTGCCTGTAAATACAATATATAATAAACAAAATAGGGGTATACAATAATACACTTCTTTACTTCCCTGTAGACCCTTCTTCAATCAGTTCGCATCAAATCACCAAAATCTTGCTGGCCTGGGCAATCTAACTTCGCTTCAGTATCCCACAGCAACACCCCATCCCAGTGTTGCGGCAGCAAACTTTTCCCCCACTGAGGCCTATTCTCGTCTTCTGAGTGCGGTCTGCTCGGCGTCAGGTGACCAGCTCAGGAACTCGCTTGGTCAAAGCGACCTCCTGACTACTACTGCGGGTATCGCGGCCACGCCACTGGGCCAAATGGATCAGAGGCACCAACAACAGCACCAAATCAGGAAATACGCCGTGCCTTCAGGGCAACAGCATTCGGCAGGTCTCACTGCAGTAATGGCAGCTGGGTCTCTAGGGAAAAATGGATGCAACACTGATGCAATTACCAAGACTAGCAAGGCTGGTGGGAGCCATGTAGATAATCAAGTAACCTTGGCAGCCCTCCAAGCAGTCATGTCTCAGGTAAGGGGGAATTCTATGAGACATATTCACCCTATTTCGTTTAGGGTGATTATAAAATGGAAGTTGCTTTTTTTTACAACTGTCCGGTTTCGAATCCTGCTGGGGAAGCAGAT